CTGTTTTTGGAGTTTTTTTCACAAGGTTCAAATAATTTACCATTTTTAAACAAATAAGGTTATAATTTATAGTAAGACTCCCAAGATCAAAGCAGATTTAATACCATAAACATTGTTTTTATATAGTTAATTTGCATTCGAAAGTCCATATTGTTTCTTTTAACCCCGTTTTACGGTATTACAAAAGACGCGCGCAGTGGAAGAGTCACTAAGTGTGAGTCGTCCCGCCGCCGTGGTGAAAGCCGCCGCGCGCCGCCACCTCACATTCCGCTCGCAGCAGTCGAGACGAACGCACGCCTTGGCACGCGCTCTCTCTACTCTGCTACTCCCCACCCCTGTCCGCTTCCGCGTGCCGACTCGCTCGCCGCGGACGCTCAGTCGTCGCGCACCGCGCGCCGCGTTCACTCGTAATTTTTATTACGAGTGGGCACCCCGCTCGCAAGTCGAGTTGCGAGGTGCAGTTCTGACTGCGCCGACCAACACGCTTAGCAGCGGTTCTGTTTCGACACACACACACACACGGGTCGTCCACACACTGCCCTAACAGTCGGGTAGGTGCGGGTACGGGTATCGGGGACTCGAACCCCATGCCCCGGGCATTGTCTCGAGGGGCGCACCGTCCCCCCGGGAAATGTTTTCGCCTAACTCGGCTCGGACACTATGACTGTGACGCGTGAATTTACGTTACGTCATCTCACTTGATAGCATACAATCGCCCTTAGTGCGTATGTAAATGGACCGCCCTTTGTTTGCATTCAACACTACATAATTAATGAATTAATCATGTAGTGTTAATTGTCCACAACTGACAGTCACTATTTACACACGCGCTAATTGCGTCAGCGTTTGCTATGACAACAGTAAACTGTCATCATAGCAACGGCTATATAGACAGTATTAGGTGTTCGCGTCGGTCTCGCCGTCCCCCCCCCCCCCCCCCCCCCCCTCGCCCCCCCTATGCGTGGGCGGGACGGACAATAGCAACACCTCTCGTGGGAGCGCGCGCCACTCTGGTGGTCGAGCGTGAAGCGGTGCGAATCCGCGTAGATGAGGGTGAGGCCCGTTATCGGCGCGGTCGAACATCCGACGCGCGACACGGACTACAAAGTGTTCGAGGGGTTCGATTCCCAGATCCCTCGCGATAATGTCATTTCTGACATAGCGACCCGCTCCCACGACAGTTCGAAGAGCGAGATTCTGCTGGGCTTGTAATCTATGCCTTTGGCGTTTGGATATAAGGGCGTACCACGCAGGTGCCCCGTAGGTTAGCCGAGAGCGAACATACGTTTTGTACACGGCGATCTTAGCTCGGGTCGGCAGATGGGATGCCAAGACGGGACGTAGTATCGCGCGAGCGGCTCTAGTTTGGTTAACAAGATTGTTAACCTGGGGGACTAGGCTTAGCGCGCGATCTATCGTACACCCGAGATAAGTCACCGTGGGACGCCACTCGATGTTCTGCCCTCGGAGAGCCAACGGAGGCCGCTTCGTGCTACTCCGACCGAAGATGATCGCGGACGTTTTGGCGACATTGATCGCTATCCGCCACTTATCCAACCAGTCAGGCAGCAAGTCAAGCAGCCTCTGCATCCTTGAGATTGCTATTTCGAGCCGACGAGATGACGTAAGATACGCACTGTCGTCGGCGTACAACGCTAAGTGGACCCCTCTCTCTCCCTCCCTGAGGCGACCTTCCAGGGTGGGGATGTCATTGGTGTACACCGCGTACAAAATTGGCCCAACACAGCTTCCCTGTGGGACTCCGGCTTCGATGCTTCGCACTGCCGAAACCGAGTTTTCAATATTTACGTAAAAAGTCCTCCCCCGCAGGTAGGACGCTATCACCCTAACGATAGCGTGCGGAATAGTTGTCATAGATAACAATTTAAATAAAAGTCCCTGGTGCCACACCCGGTCGAAGGCTTTCTCGATATCGAGAAAGACTCCGACCGACTTGCGCCCGACATTTCTGTCGAACACAAGCTCGTGCAGCACCCGGGTTAATTGTGTGGTTGTAGAGTGGCCGCCTCTAAAACCGTGTTGCTCTTCACGGAGGTTGATGTGCGGCCACATGCGTTTTAATAAAAGCTTCTCGAATAGCTTCGCTAGGTGAGAGAGTAGGGTGATAGGCCTATAACTGGAGGCTAATCTCCTATCCTTACCCGGTTTTGGCAGTACGAAGATCTTACCAATCTTCCACAAGTCGGGAAAGCGTCCTGTGCGCAGGATGCCGTTAAACAAACGCGCGACCGCGACGATGCAACGTTTGGGAAGCTGTTTTAGAGCCGCATTTGGAATACCGCCGGTAGGCGCAACACAGCTCGCCACACCTCGGATGGCGACATAAATGTCACTTCCCCGAGGTCCGGCGCCGGGCCCGACAGAAATTCCTGTACGCGGCAGTCGACTAGGTTGTGGTGCGCGACGACGACAGGCTCCCTAGTATTCTGTGGGTTCATTTTAAATTGACCCTCTAAGAAATCGGCTAAGATGTCCGCCCTTTCCTGAGAGCCAAAACAACGTAGACCTGCCCCATTAAGGAGTGGACAGACGGATTGCTTAACACGCGAAAGCTGCCGGTTCAGGAGGTGTAGCGACGTAGGATGTTCACCTGCGGCATCGATACGTCGCTCCCACAACTCACCACGGTGGTTTTTCACCTGCGCCGACAGCTTTTCGGAAATGAAGTTAAGTTCTCGCTTGATTCGTGGACAGCGAGAACGCGACCACAGTTTACGCAACGCTCGTTTTTGTTTTATAAGCGTGCGTATACGTGCTGGTAATATGTCGTACCGGGCACTATCCTGAAGTGTTTTTGAGGCCGCCTCCTTAGCCTCCGTAATACGTTGGCTAAGTTTAACAGCTGCGCGCTCAACATCTTCCGGGGTGGTTATCTGCTCCGGTAGCGAAAAATCTTTTAATAAAGATTGAAATTTACCCCAGTCGGTCCTAATTCTTGGAGGTTTAGGCGCAATACTCGTCGCCCCCAAATCAAGCGAGACAAGTAGGGGCAAGTGGTTGGAGTCTACGTCGTACAGTACCTCAAGTCTGAGCGGACGATCCCAACCGTGGTTTAAGACTATATCCAAAACATCGGGGGCTTGGGCCACGTTGGCAGGGTAGTGTGTTGGCTCTGAAGGACCCAACACATCGTATCCCCACCGGTCCGCGTCCCCGTTGAGTGCCCTCCCCGCGGTATTAGTCGTGTGCGACCCCCAATCCACATGTTTGGCATTGAGGTCGCCAACGGCGTGAATATCCGGTGGGACTTCGGAGATCTGTAGGCGGCATAGGTTCGAATCTCCCTCCCAGCCACATGTAACCTCACACCTATGGAAGATAAAGAAATAAATCGATTGTGTCCCAACTCGTCGTGTATTAAGTCCCTCCGCACAAGGACGGCGGTTCCCCTGTACGCCCTTCCTTGCGGAGTGACTTCGTCGCGCCGATACACAAAGTAATTGGGAACTTTAAAGCTTTGCCCCGACCTAAGTTTAGTCTCCCCCAAAAGGATGACATGAATGCCATACATTTGGGCGAGGGTGCGTAGCTCTGCCGCCTTTGAGCTTACACCATCGGGGTTCCAATATAAAAGTTTAAGTACGGTAGTCATAGTGCGCCGAGAGTAGACGGGTGAATACGCGCATCGCCGCGTTTGTTGGATCCTCCCCGGCTACTATTGCAGCGAGGACTTCGGAAATCAGGTCCGCGAAGGCCCGGACGAGTCGCTGCAACAACTCCGCATACGACTCAGCCGAGCCGTCGTGACCTCCCCAGTGTGGTGGCTGTGTGTGGCCCCTCTCTGCCCGCAGTGAAGGCAGGCGTCGGCGCGGGCGTCGGCGGGGTCGTCCAGCTTGGCTGTCCGACTCCGCCTCCGTGGTATAGTCTGTAAATACGACATTTTTAAAGTTAGTATTATTATTATTGCGCGTGCTGGTTGGTTGAGCAGATACAGCAGCATTTTCATCGACATTCCGGTCCCGGTGCTGCTTTTTGTTTTTCTTTTTCTTTTGGGTTTTATCCTTCGGCGTATTCACCGGAGGCATTAACATGGTATTGGCAGCCGGCGCGGTGGTCGCGCTCGACTGCGGCGCGACAGGCGGTCGTGCAGCGCTTTTATAGCGCCCGCCTTGTCGCTCTCCGGTGTCTCTGTCTTGCTCGCGCGGTTGCGTGGCAACGGCTTGTCGTTGGGTGGGGCGCACTGAGTGGGCGGGCGCTTGTGGCGCCGCGCTGTCTCGGCGCGCGATGGCTTCTCGTGGAGGTGCGGGGGCGGGGGGGTGTTGTTCCACGCGTTGTATGGGGCCGCGCGCCGTTGCGCGTTTGCCTACGGTTATCCAGCCGTCTGCATTTCTCGGTGGCTCCGGTGTGGGCGCATTCAATTGTATGCCCCGTTTTCGCGCTTCTTTCTTGTAAACGGGGCAACGACGATCGTTCGCTGTATGGTTTCTGCCGCAGTTCGCGCACTTCACTTGCGCTCCCTGCGGCAGTGGGCACTCCGATGCAATGTGTTCCCCTGCGCATTTAACACAGCGCACCGGTTTAAAGCAGGTAGCAGACGAGAGTCCGAATGTCTGACAACGATGGCATTGTGAGGGCCCTGTGCGTCCCTTCCAGTAAAAGAGTACAACGCCCGGCATACGTAGCAGCTCATCTATGGCGTATAGCCGGGCGAGGTCTTGTTCGTTCAGATGTTCTAACTGGACGAAAAATAGGCAGCCTGGTCGTCTCCTCTGCCTGGGTATAAGTTTTACAAACTTTGCTGGGAAGCCCAGGCTGAGTAGGGCCTCCATGATCTCCTCTGTTGATGTGCTTTCCGGCAGCCCCTTAATCCCTATTTTTGTGGGGAGTTCACAGGCCGGCGTATAACAATACCAGGACACATCAACGGTTTTTGTTAGTGTAATTAAATATTTTTGAACCCTCCGGTATTCCTGTGGCGATTGTGGCAGGAACCTGAATCCACTGCGGTACGGCCTCGCGTTCGGGTCGTGGCCGAGTTATTGCTGGAGAATTTTAAAGTGTTTGGTCCACTCCGGGAGTTTTTCCACCATTATGGGTGGATATCCCTTTCTGGTGGACTCCTGGGTGGGCTTCTCCTTGATGTTGGTGTTGTTGGTCGCTTTAGGTGAACTTGTTCTGCGCAAGGTGTTAGGTGATGGCGGCTTAATCGCGGTCGCAGCGTAGGATGTTGATGGCTGCAGCTCACTGGCGGTTGGTGTTATATTGGCACCTCTATTGGTGCCATTGTTCGCGAATGTCGCGTAGGATGTTGCGTCCGTCCAGGCTAATTCCCCTCCAAGCTCTTCCATGTCGAGGTCCCTATTGGACCTCCTGTCCGGGGATATGCTGGGGGTTGTGGCCGGTGTGGAGTTATTGGATGGTGACCTGGGGGGTTGGGAGTAGGCCCTCGCCCCAGGTTGACTCACCTGTGGTTCCGGAGGCCCCTGCTCCGGTGATGAGGTAGCGGGGGCTACCTTTGTCCGCTTTTCCATGAGGGACGCCTCCGTCTCGGGCGGGGTGTGGCGCCGCTGTGCTTTCGGCTGGCGTGGCGGTGGGGTATAATCCGCGGGGGCTGCATGGAAATATGAGCCCCCTGCGATTTCTCCACTCCCGCTTGCCCGTGTAGGTTGTAGCGGGTGTCTGATGGTGGTTATGGCGGATGACGATTCCTCCTCCTCATCCTCTTCATCTTCGTCCGTGGTGGTAATATTCGCACTCGGCGATGTTCTGCCGGGGCGTAGCGCACTCATGGTGCGGATACACGGTAGCGGACGCGGCGGCTCACCGGAGAAAATATTTCTCTCGGCGAGCTGACGTTCCACTACCGGCACCTGTCGCCTGTTGCGCCTTTGAGGCTGCGGGGGAGGTTCCCCCTCTCCCTCCATTGCGCGTACGGCCGATGTTTGTGGCGGTGCTGGTTCCCGGCGAACTCACGCGCACCCTACTCCCCTCAGCGCGGGCAAACTAACCGGGTGAGACCCCGAAGGGAGGCCCAGCGAGCAGGGAGAGGTGCGCGGGTTGCAAAAGATTGGGGTATTCTAACGTACTCGCGTACGCGCACTTCCTGGCACTTTTCAATAAAAGTACGGGTAGTACTTTCTCTGGCTACTTCACTTTGCGGTCGCCTGGTTAAAGAATCTGCAAGTGAGCTTCCAGAGCCCTGTTTCGACGTCTTAGGGCTAGTGGATACCTAACGGTGATAACGAAACTAGCCAAGGCTTGCCCCGATCGCCTTGCGGTTCTCTCCTGAGAACCGCGAATTTTCGGAAGGGACCACCATCACTGGCCTTGGGTGTAGTCCCTAGTCAGCGGCGGTCCACGTTTGGCCCTTTAGCGCCCTCGGGTAGTTTTTAATTAGCTATAAGCACACACCCGCGTGCACAATAAGATCGGCACAAGGACGCAATAGGGTTACACAATTTAGGCACTCATCCTCCCTGCCTATACCCGGCAGGGAGGGATACGGACACACCCCGGCATCCCACCGGGCTTACTAAATAGAAAAAAATTTTTCCTAAATTAAAAGATGGCTGAAATTAAGGCCATATTAATGGCCCTTCAGGCAAAGCACCCTGAAGCTTTTAAAGATGCCCTTCAGGCACTTAAAGAATTGTCAAGACCCTCCTCAAGGGCATCCACCTCGACCGACGATGCTGCAGCGAGCTCCTCCTCGCAAGAGGAAATGGAGCTAGACTCGCCCCTTTCTCCCGACGCCGATGAAGGAGGTTTGTTCACCGAAGTGGTGAACAAAAAGAAGCGCAAGAAGCGCACCTCCCAACCGTCTTCAACGCCACGTCCCCCGTACCGCCAGTTAAGGCGCCAAGGCCGACCGAATCGGCCGTAGCCGGGCCCTCAGTGCCCACCCAACCGACATCATCGCCTTCAGCGATTCCAACCCCATCGCCTTCAGCGATCCCAACCCCATCGCCTTCAGCGATCTCAACCCCATCGCCTTCAGCGATCTCAAACCCGGTTGCTACTCAAGCAGCCCCCGCGGCTCCCGCGGCCCCTCGTCCGCCGCAAGACAAGCGGCCACCTCCCATCTTCGTTCAGGACACCTCAAAGTGGCCAATGATCGAGTCCGCCCTATCTAATAGGGTCAAATTTAGCGCAACGTCCACTACCCAAGGCATCAAGCTACAGCTTGAGAATGCCGACGCCCACAGGCAGGTTTCAAAATTCCTGCGAGACAAGGAGGTGTTTTACCACACCTACACTCTCAGAGAATAGAATTCTCCGCGTGGTAATTAAGAGGATCCCTGGAAACATATCCACCGACAGAGTGTTCGAATCACTCAAAAACCAAAACCTCCCGGTCCTTGCAGTCCATCGCATGACCAGTAAGCGCATGCGCACTCCCATAGACCTAGTCATGGTCCACCTTGAGTTGACAGGGAAGGAAATTTTTAACATACAATCCGTGCTAGGACTAGACAACATAGTCGTAGAACCCCCGCATAAAGGCGTGCTCCCAGGGCAATGCCATAAATGCCAAAAATACAGGCACGCAGCCCGTAATTGCTTCGCCAGGCTTAGGTGCGTCAAGTGCCTAGGAGACCACGGCACCCCAGACTGCCCCCGGCCTAAAGATAAGGCACTCTTAGTGAGCTACGGGCCTCCCGCTTGCGTGCTGTGCCAAAAAGAAGGCCACACAGCCAACTACCTCGGCTGTCCCAACGCGCCTAAGCGCAGACCCACCAAACCGGCCCCTTAGGCCACCAGAAGACCACCCGTACCGACGGCTGCCTCCTTCCCACCTCTACGCCCCGCGTGGCAGAACCCTATGGCCCCCGCTTGGGCCAAACCTAACCCGCCTATCATGGCACCCAAACTAGCCGCACAGCCGGCTCCAATCCCTATCCCAGTCCCACCAACACCAGCGACCGGAAGTAACCCCCTGGACTCGCTGAGCCAACTCCTCCGAACCGTCAACATGGCGCAAGTTATGTATTTTGCCCAGCAATACGCTGAAGGCAACTTCTCCTCAAGACTCCTACTCCTGAACCAATACCAGCACATAGTTGCTGCGTTATCTGTCTAGGGACCCAAAATGGATAATACACCCCTAAACAATAATAATAATAGCACCACCAGTCTCTCTGCTACGCGTAATAATGGCAGAGTCAAACCGCGATCGATTAATGTAGCATTCTACAACGCGAACGGGCTTAAAGAGCAACGCGACGAAATACGTATTTTCTTACGCGACCACCAAATCGATATACTTCTCATTCAGGAGACGTTCCTGAAACCCGCGACAAGGGATCCGAACATCCCCAATTATCGAATAGTTAGGAACGATCGTGTCGGCGCCCCGGGCGGCGGCACACTTATATACTATAAAAAATCTCTCCATTGCGTACCGGTAGACACGCCCGCGCTCACGCATCTCGAGGCCTCCGTCTGTCAGCTGGCTTTAACCGGCCACTCTCCTATCACCATAGCATCAGTTTACCTCCCTTGCAGACCAACCGCAACAATATAGCATTCAGATTTTGAGGCCCTCTTCTCTATAGGAGGAGCCACCATCCTAGCTGGCGACTTCAACAGCAAGGACACCCGATGGAACTCTACATTTACCAACAGTCGAGGCACCGCACTCGACTCGCTATCCGACAGGCTCGACTTTGAAGTCGCTGCCCCCGTCGAACATACGCGCTTTCCTTACGTAGAGGGACACACATCGGATGTGCTTGACATTGCACTCGTCAAAAACATCAGTCTCTCCTTATGCGAACCGGAAGTGATACACGAGCTTCACTCCGATCACCGACCAGTTCTCCTCCGGCTAGGGCCTTCAGCAATAGCCGCTCCCCTAACCAAAACTGTCATCAGCGGGCATAAAATCAAATCTAAATTTGACGAACCTAATCCTCCACAACTAGAGTCAATCCCTAGAGAATTAAATACCAAACAGGACACGGAAACCCCAATTCGAGCCACGTTAACACCGTCGTCGAGCAATGCTCGAGACAGGTCCCGGCGATGGAAGACCATCGCTGGGCCCTGCGTGACGATGTGCGAGACTTGCTGAGACGCAAGAATGCGGCCACTCGAGTCTATGATAGATATCCCACCGACTCGAATCGTAGACTGCTACGTAAATTGCAGCGTGAGGTCAAAACACGCATAGCAGACTCACGAAACGAACGATGGGACTCCACCCTAACCTCAGTAAAACCATCCCACGTAGCCTTCTGGAAACTTCCCAAATCCCTCAAGGGTAACGGCATAACAACCATGCCGCCACTAGTCCGTCCGATAGGTACGCCAGCAATGCTGGACGAAGAGAAGGCCGAATGCCTGGCTGACAGCCTAGAGGCTCAATGCTCCCCCAGTCTGCTTCCGATCGACCCCGAACACCTCCGCAAGGTGGACGAAGAGGTAGAAAGGAAAGCCTTAGAGCCAATTCGCGATCCCGTTCCCCCAGTCACGTGCTCCGAACTAATAGACACCATTAATAAACTACGCCCGCGTAAAGCACCAGGCTCAGATGGTATCACCAATAAGGTGACCAAGCTCCTCCCTACTAGCATCCTTCAGATACTAGTATTAATTTACAACGCGGCCTTAACCGAAGGCTTCTTCCCATCCGAGTGGAAGGAAGCCGGTGTCATAGGGTTCCTCAAACCCTCTAAACCCGCCACTCTCCCAACCTCATATCATCCAATAAGTCTTCTCAAAACATTTGGGAAGATCTTTGAAAGACTAATATTAGCCCGCTTAAGATCCCTTATGGACACCAAAGGGCTCCCCATCCCAGAGCAGTTTGGATTTAGAGCCAAACACTCGTGTACCCATTGTAACTCGCACCCCCCCTTTTTATTGTGTATATATAATTATAAGTTATATATTTCTGCCCCATTATATGAATAAATCATATAACATCATTACGTGACCAGGATAAATTATTGATCTTTCTATAAGATCTTTCTAAAGGTAATAATTAGCCGTATAAAATATTATTGTGATCGTCATGTTCGGTAGGACCTCATTTACGTTGTGTTTATTTAGTAACTTGATTCTTTTAGGTGGATCTTGGATAGATAAATATTCACTAGTCGTGTAATGTCAGATTGCTTTCTTATTAACTAACCCCGACTCGCTTGAGACGGGCTCAGAGTATATAGTATACTCCCTCTCACGCTTGTAAAGGGCTCACAATATAATCTTAAAATAATATCCCTTCTCTCTTGAAAAGGGCTCACATCAATTTTACATACCCGATACAAGTCTACGGCTCCCCCACATTTTTAAAAAATGTAGGGAAGGCACACGGCTCCATGAAAACACTCACCAACGCCGTGTGCGGTGAGCGCCAACCAACATATTGCGCCCCCCCCCCCAGAAGAGGGACAAAAAGTTGGGGGAAAGGACCGAAGTCCATTGCAAAGCTGTTTTACCAGCATAAAGAGGGCTTGGCCCCTTGGCAGTGCGTAAGCACAAACTTTGACCGAAGTCGCGCATGTCAATGCGTGTAAACGTCATACAAGCCGACGACAAATCCAGTCTTCGTGAATGTACGTCAATACGGTTTTGGGCATGTGTTAAAGATCAGGCACTCTGGCCCT